GAAAGAGAGAGAGAGAGAGAGAGAGAGAGAGAGAAAGAGAGAGAGAGAGAAAGAGAGAGAGAGAGAGAGAGAAAGAAAGAGAGAGAGAGAGAGAGAGAGAGTGTGTGTGTGTGTGTGTGTGTGTCCTGGTGAATAAGTGTAGCATTTTGACTGGTTGTGTTTGGAAAAGAAAAGCAAGTTGTTCCTGTTAGATGTGTGTTTTAGGTAGAGAATTGTGCGTAGAGTTTTGTTAAAAGTGTTTTATTCAATTAAATACTGAGTTGAAGACTGAGAAACAGCTTCTGCTGTTGGAGATCTGAGGTGTAGTGGATGTGCTTACTTTTGAAGACACAGCAGCCAACACGGTTACATATATGACCCTATATTAACATCATTTATTCATATTCCATCACTTACAAATGTGGAATTCTTCACTAAAATCTCAGCCTGACTGGACTCCATATTCAGCATCTTCACATCTCCATATCTGTCTCTGTAGACGAGTCGATGATCTGCACACACACACACACACACACAACACACACACCACACACACACCACACACACACCACACACACACCACACACACACCACACACACACCACACACACCACACACACCACACACACCACACACACCACACACACCACACACACACACACACACAAAATGGTGTAGCGCCAATAATTCAGATTCAGCAGCTGATTCCCCAGGAGATCTTTCTCACCAGAAACCCACTGTGGGTCCAGATGGAGATCCAGCAGCTCCACGGACAACAGCTGATCCAGGGTCAGGCAGGAGCCAGCAGAGCTCTGGGCCTCCGCTGAGAATACACACACATATGCACAGAGAGAGAGACATGTATGCGCACACACACACACACACATGCACGCACATACATGCACACAGACAGACAAATAATGCAAAACTAACACTTGATGCGTTTTTCCTGATTTGGTCTGAGATGTTTTGTGATGATAATGACTGATGTTGTGGTGGTTATGTAGCCCACTGTGTTAGATGTGCAGTCTGACATAACGACACACATCATAAAATAAAGTTTCTTTATTTTGGCCTCTTGTCAAGATGAGATCTAAAACAGGTCTAAAACAGATCTAACACAGGGATCAAGCCAAAGGAAGGCTGTAGAACTCTTATTTTTATCCACCGTCTTATTTTCTCTCAGATTTGACTCCCCAGAGTATCTGACATCATGTTCCTCACTCAGCACATGAGTTAGGGCTCCCCCTACCCTAATACATCTAAAACACAGACTGCTGTAAAACTCGTCAAGGGCAGGGAATCGCTTTCTCTGGTTAACGGCAGGGAAAGAGTGAAGCGAAATCATTTATTGATTTGAGTTTGACACACATCATAACACCAGCTGTACATGTAAAGCACAAGTAATGTCTTTCAGTTCAGCCCCATCCAGCGGCCGTCATCCTTAAACCAGTCTCCACCATTAAGCTGCTTGCTCTTCTGTCCGTTTTTTACATGTTTGCTCACACTTTCTTTTGCCGTCTGAAGTGTGTCAAATGCTTAATTCGCGGCATGATATTCACTCGATTTGTGCCACAGGATGTCTAATCGCACATTTGTATTGACTTCACATGTAAATTACGCGCACTTCACCCACATCTGCTCACTGCACAGGCTGCAACAACCCCTCTCTCTATGTGATGTCAGGATTGTGAGGGCGCAGGTGAGAGAGATACAAGGTGAGCTTTAAATACGCTTGCATATTTCCTACGCTTATTTCGTAAAGTGCATTGTATGTTTGCCATAACAGGTTAAAGGGATATTCATTCATTCATTCATTTTCTTTTCAGCTTAGTCCCTTTATTAATCAGGGGTCAACACAGTGGAAAGAACCGCCAATTTATCCAACATATGTTTTACACAGCGAATGCCCTTTCAGCTGCAACCCATCACTGGGAAACACCCATACACGCTCATTCACACTCATACACTACAGCCAGTTTAGTTGATCAGTTCCCCTATAGCGCATGTCTTTGGACTGTGGGGGAAACCGGAGCACCTGGAGGAAACCCACGTGAACGCAGCGAGAACATGCAAACTCCACACAGAAACGCCAACTGACCCAGCCGAGACTCAAACCAGAGACCTTCTTGCTATGAGTTGACAGCACTACCTACTGCGCATTGCCCATAAAGGGATAGTTCACCCTAAACTTTAGGTGTTTTAATTTCATTTCAAACTATGGAGATCCTTTATTTTAATTTACACTTATTAACTACTGGCTTCATTTAAAACATCTGACGCCACACATAAGCTAAAAACACATAATATACAGTACATAGCCTAATAGCTGAGGTTAGGTATAATCCTAACACAATTATTAATACAGTACAGCACACATAAATTCATATGTAGTTACGAAGATTAACTAGTATTATTGATAGAGCTTCTCTGAATAAGTGTGTGTGTGTGTGTGTGTGTGTGTGTGTGTGTGTGTGTGTGTGTGTGTGTGTGTGTGTGTGAATGCAGTAACTGAGAGCTCTCTAATCTGAAACATGTACCTCAGCTCTGTCTGACTGAACATTTATTAAGAAACACACTCACGCATGCACACACACACCTTTAGACAGCAGGAAGATGGACAGAACGATCAGTGACAGCATAAAGGAGATGACGAGAAGTGAGATTCCCACACCCTTCCAGTTCATCTCGCTGGAAACACTCCCCACATCCTGCAGACACACAGACGTCACAGTTAATCATCAAGCTTCATCTGTAACTCATGCTCAAATGGCTTGTTTTCTCTGACTGGTACAGTACGGTCAGTTCGGGTCAGTACGGGTCACCTTTATCAGGCTTGCGTTTCCACTACTACGTCATGCTCACTTGAATAAATGTCTACGGTAAAGCTGTACGGGTCGCTCACACATCATATGAGCAGCACTTCTCACAACACAGATGCTTTACACACATAAACACTTCTGTATAAATGTTCATTACTACCTTTTCCATGAACAGGATTTGATTATAACTGCAGAACAATGACAGTGGAAAATAGCCTACTGTAATGTCTGCAATTATATAAACTGAATAAATAAATGAACACATACAGCCCCTTACAGTCCCCTATATCATACCAACCACAGAAGAACTACACACAGCAGACATTTCAGCCTTATTTAGGCTCAGAACACAAAGTATAGCCCAGTCAGTGAAAACCTCTCATCTGTGTGTGTGATCTTCAGCAGCACATGTAGCCTCTGTTAGAGAGTCACTCCGTCATTCTCAGTTCATATTAGTCTAAAAGGTGATGATAAACATTTAAACAAGGCAGTTTGTTCACGTTTGCTGAAGAAGTAATGTCCTCCTTTTTCCAGCTTCTCCTTTTTTTTCTGCGCTTCACTCTCGCGTTTGTCAGTGTCTGACAGGATCGGGTTTCAAAAGCAGGTCAATAATCAAGCGCACGTTATTATCATCAGCTCAAGAAGTTTGTTATTTCAGATACAGATGCACGGCTCGCGCAAGCAAGATCGCGAAACCGCTCTAACTTCAGACCGGCTCGTAAAAAACTTTGGGGCACAGGGTAAACTGCTCTGCTTCTTGGCATTGTGGCTGCTCATCAAGATGACAACAAGGTTTATTTAAGCCTGGATCGACCATGGCTCGTTATTATATGTAGCAGTGTGTCTAGCTCCGGCTTTTGGTACCCTTTCTCGTGTTTGGTACCTTTTTGAAAGGGTGCCGATAAAATGGTACAGTATGGTTCAGCCATAAAAGCATACTGAACCACTCAATGGAAATGGGCCAAAACTCAGCTCCTGGATGGCCGCAGCTCTGCAGAGTTTAGCTCCAAACACCTCCAGCTCACACCTGCTCTAGAAACTCGAACACCTTGAGGAGCAGAACGGCAGAGCTGCGGCCCTCCAGGATCCAGTCTGATGGAAAACAGAGTGACCTGTAATGATGGACAGAAGAAAGGCAAAACTGCGTTAACAAGACATTTTAATAAGACAATATCAACAAGAATATGGTGTGATGTTAACAGCTTATACAGAAGAGAATAACTGATCATGTTGTCTAATTTAACATGTCATTAGTTGGCATCTTTGGTCATTGAGTTGAAAATAGTTTGTGCTGTTGCTTTAATAGCATCCTCCTTCAGTCAATCGCGTCTCTGGTGTTTTCATGTGCTTTTAGTCACTGAAGCGTGTGGTGTGAGCCAGTCTGAAAGGTTTCAGTGTTTTATGTTACGGGTTTTATGCAGTGAGCTTGTTTTGCACTGTCTGCAGTTTAAGAAGTGAAGTAAAAGAGTTTTGACTAGACTAAATCTGATTGTCTTTGTGCTATTTTTAATGAATCTCTGAACATTATTTTGTCCTGACATGACCACCGTTACCACACCGCTTTCCGTTTGGACTGAGTCTGAATTGATGCCTGTCATAAACCCACAGATGTAATGCTATGAGAAGTCGCTGCTCTGCAGAAGTCAGGCAAATATATTAGTCAATTGAGAACATGTGTAGACTCTGGTTTGATTACTGCTGTCATTTATTTAGTTTTAGTTCAAGTAAAACTCTGTACTGAGATCTGTCTTTTGCATGACACAGGCTTTACAGTATGATGTCCGTCAGCAGATTCAGCACAATATGAATAAATCTGTTTGTTTAATTCTCTTTGTGGTTGTTTCAGGCTCCATCTGCATCACTGCAGGATTATCATGCTGTTACCGACCAGTAAGAGATTACAGTTCCTGAGTTTACATTTAATCTCAAGCATCTCAGACGTGATACAGACAGATCAACTTTTAATTCCGTGGTAAAAAGTCAGAACAGCATCAGGACGATTTAATGTAAATGACATGCTTTATAAACATGATCTGTATGATCGGCTCGCCTCTTCAACATGCATATGAGGAAGAATTAAACTCTCCAGTGAAACACACACTCTCTCACAGCACCACACACACACACACACACACACACACACACACACACACACACACACACACACACACACACACGTATAGCACATAGGCAGCGCTGCTGTTCCTCGATGCTCTACATTTAGATGCACTCAGTAAGTTTGCGTCTCATGAATGATTGAATGAAAGTCCTCTGCGTCTCCCTCGAGATCTGCCTGACCTTCATCCACATCAATCTTTAATCCATTGCGTGCTTTAACTGAACATCAGATCCTTTATTTTGATCATGAAACTGATCAGTGACTGACCCTACAGCTCGGGAAACCGAGCTCAATTGTTTGTCAAGTATTAAGCTCTTATGAGTGAGAGAACGCGTCACACGCAATCTCCAGTTTGTAAAGTGACAACAGAGTAAATCTATCTGTCAACAACAGCGCTCATTTACACAGCGCACGAGCGGTTTCTATAACTTTGAGTTTCATCCATTCAACTTTGAGTTTCATTCATAATAAAGTTCCACACACACACACACACACACACACACACACACACACACACACACACACACACACACACACACACACACACACACACACACACACACACACACACACACACACACACACACACACACACACACACAGTTCTGTTCTCTCGCAGATGAAGTTTCTCACCTTGACGTCGATGGACGAGCGCCTGTGGCAGTGGTTGGACACTCCTGCGGTCTGGTTCATCTCTGCGTCTGTAGTGGAATGAGGCTGAAGCCGAGAGCAGCAGCAGATCCAGCTGTATGTCTGTGACGCAGCAGATGCAGAACATCTGTGTGTGGAATCAGCATCAGCGCCCGTCAGTGTCCGTCTGCTGGATTACTGAGCGCACTGAGCGATTTACACAAGTAGGACACGCGCCAGCAAACAATCACCGCACACCCAAAATAACCACAAACTATGATGAGCGTTGAGTAAAGCAGAGCAGAGAATAAAGTCTGTTGTGTTTCAGTCTTAGATCCTCTCTCCTTCATCGTTCTTTTCTCTCCTTTATCTTCATCTTCACTCATAGTCCCTCTTCATGCCCGTCTCATTTCTGTCCTCAGTTTAGCAGAGTTTAATGTAGCTGAATGTGAAATCATATCTTATACAAAATAATGTGAGAATTTCTTAATGAAAGCAAGATTAGCTCTTTCTGAGGAAATATAAATCTGTTTCAGAGTCTGTCAGTGTTTTCTGTCTCTTCTTTACGTCGACCACAGTGAAGGAGAATCAGCAGTTAACCCTGAGCCTGAGCTTCATGTCAGGGATATTCTGCTGGAGTGTGCTGTGTGTTTACAGTATTCCCGTTTACTTTGTGATGTACAGTATATTCTTTATTTCAATGGTGTTCTCTCTCCTCTCAGCTTTTCTCTAGTTTTATGCTGGTTTAGTTTAGTTTATTTGTTTACAGGGTCAATGCACATTAATAAATATTACTGTAAAATGTGCCAGAATTAGCCAAGAATGGCTATTCTTCATCTGTAGACTCCTTACAGAATGTTAAAAAGTCACACCTAAAATAGAAGCTTCTTGTATCTTGTGTTCTTATCCTCATCTTTCTCTCTGATATGATTCAGACTCTTTCTGTTCTCTGTATGAAAGCAGAAATTGACTCGTGTAAACAGTGACGTTCAGTTCATCTGTATAAAAATCTAACTCATTATCAAAGTCTATCATGTAAACAATAAACATAATATGACCTCCCAGCTAGAAATGTTTAGTTCTCTCCATGTACACAGAATATTGTAACACAGGCTCGTCCTGAAAACATTGTCCCGCGGACGTTTCTGGAGACCATGAAATATGTCCCGGGGGGTACGTATTTGTGCAGTTTTTGTCTTTGTAAATCCGCGAGAGGCCGATGTGTGTGCTTTTTTGCATCTCGAACGTTTCTCGTGAGCACTGTTCGTGCCCGCGCTGTTCTCGTGTAAAGCCACCAGAGGCCACTGTTGAGTGACCGTCTGTCCAACTGACTGAATAATTGACTGGGTGACCGGCCAATCGGACGACCCACCCTCCGCCTCCTCCTCCTCCTTCTCTAAACCCAACCGGTTTTAGCGATTGACTCTGTTATGAACTCGCTCTTTTTATTTCTTGAATTCTGTTTTTGTCTTACCTGATTTCTGGAACCGCTCTTCCCCAGACTCGATCCAGGTCATGGCTGTCAACTCCCTTCTGGGTTTTCACTCCGCCAACGTACACGACACGCTAACTGGACAAACTGGTTGCAGTGGGAAAGCCGTCCACACAGAGATCAGCTGTCAGCCGGCGAGCGTGAAGATAAGTGGTGTCACACCGCCCCATAGCATTTGCTTAAAAAAATTAACTGCTGCCATACATTCCCCAGAAACATCCATGGGACTACGTTTTCAGAATGAGCTTGGGTTGGAATATTACCAAGCAATGTTGCATTACTGTTTGTGATGGGTAGTTTTCTTTAAGTTCCCATAATGTTCTCTTTGATGGTAGGAAGCATTATCTAAATACGTTCTAAATACGTTGCAAAGTAGCATGGCTACAACATTATACTCTAACATTATTAAAACTTTTCATCATATTGCTTTATTTCACTTCCCAGAACATTCTCTTAAAGACAGGTAAGTGTTCTCTAAAACGTTGCAAGCACATTTGCTGGTAAATGGTCTAACAGGGTTGTGCTTATTCCCTTAATGAGTTTGGGTGTGTTTTGCAAATAAACCTATGAGAGTCTCATCTCCTATTGCCTTTAAGAGTTAGTTGTCGCTCCATGGCGCATTTGCTATTCACATATCAACTTTACTAGGATAAAGAACAAGACACCTCCAATCAGCCTTTATTTTCTGTCTTTCATAGATAAGGAAACGGTGTTATGCACTTAACTGGACACATCCGTAAGCCTATACAATTATTTTCATTGGCTAAGCTCAAAAAATTGTCAAAACTATTTCTAAATTCAATTCTAATTTCCAGCAAACGAATAAATGAGCAATAATATAGAAATGTGGTCAGAAAACTGAGTTGTATCCAAACACACGTCCTGTTCTTATGTCCCATTAAGTCCAAAAACCCACAAGTGGACTAATCTAAACTTGTTTGTAATAAATATAAATAATCCATATAATAAATAGTATTAATAATAATAATAATAATAATAATAATAATAATAATAACAACAACAACAACAACAACAACATGATACAAAAGCAAGTTGTCATAAATAAACTGAAAAAAGCTCAGGCATGGAAGCAGTGGTGTTTATATTGATGTAGAAAATAATAATTTTTGTGATATTTTAATCCTTTGTTTTTATTTGTAAAGATTTTTGTGTATTGCTGTACATCCTGTTTGTATTAAGCAATGAGTCTGTTTTTAAAAACCCTCCAGAATGAAGCAGTTACACACTACACTACTGTACGATGAACATCGAAGACACGTTTTACGCATTTGCTGTTGAATTGAGACCACGAGCGCTGGCTATGAGAGATAGCCAAAAAAGAAACTCAGATATATTTAACACAAGAATAATTTACTGACACACAAGACTGACTTCACTAACTGTATAAAATGCTAACATTTTTTTGAATATTTTTTAGTTAGTGAAACATTTTTTGAATATTCCTTAGATATTACATTGAAAAGTTTTCTTTTAAACATTAACACAACATGAAGGGAATGTTAGCCAAAGTTGAGAGAGCGTTCCCTTCCAGCTGGGAAGTGTGTACAATTATCAGGAAAATGATTGATCTTGAATAAATGACTGCTTAATTTTGCAAGCAAACACTCTGGAACACTGCTTCTTATATGTCAAGTATGATGTCAGAATTTTTAAATGTGTTCTTACAGTATTTTTCGGTTCAATGGAGTAAAGCTTCACTTTTTCTGAAATGTTTACACAGATGTCTTCAAACTGATAAATAAATGTGTAACATGTATCTGTGTTTGTTTTTATTTTTAGTGTCTTCTCAGATCCCTCAAATATGAAGATTCTGTCATCATTTACGCATTCTTGTGGGTTTTAATCCTGTATATATGTATGTACAGTAGGTGAGAGTTCAAAGTGGCTATTAACGCCGCGGCTGGTACCGCCGCCGTTTGAAATAGGTGCCGCTCTGTTTTTAGTGTATGACCGCAGTTTGTGAATGAGCCGCCAGGGGGCGCAAAGGGACGGGATGCGAACGGACAGAAATAGATCATACAGCTACTGTGCTTGTAAATGATATTAAACAATAAGTCAAAGCATTATAATTCCTTCATTAATCATTTAAAATTTGTTAACACGCTTTATTGTAAACTTTTTAAGTGCAAAGAGGATTCGTTTTGGAAAATAGAATTGAAGAAGTAAAAGACAACTAAAATGAAAGCACAAACATTTAGTACAAATAAGTAGTCTTAAATAAATAAATAAATAAATAAATAAATAAATAAATAAAGCAGCCTAAATATAGAAAGATGTTCAGTGTTTGCTATTTTGATAGGACTAAGACAAGACATTTTCATTTATGTTTTATTTCTGTTTTTATTTCCATTTTCGTTGTTGATTATATTTTACTATCTTA